TTGGTCTGAAGTTTTCTTTTTTTGTGTTTTCTTTGTTAGGTTTTGGTATTAGTGTGACGTTGGATTGAAGCACTAATTTTTAAATTTAGTAGTACAGCTGTTGAAAGATAGGGTATTAAAATTCATTAAAGTAGAAAATCCTTTATGCTTTTAAGCCCTGTGCTTAAGTGCTGTTAACACAAAACATAATTTTATGAGGAAACAACTTTTATCAAGCCATGTTTTACCAGCATTAAGGTGCCATGATTATAAGATACAATAGCATTTTTATGTACCACTAAAGAAGAAAAAAAAATGCTGCCTGTTAAACTAGAACGTATCGCTGATTACAACCTAATTTTAGAGATTTCAGTGTGAAAAACATGCATCTTAAAACTGATAAAATATGGAATTGCAGGTTTCTTTAGGACTTTATTTCACCTTCTTTCAAACTATACCTAAAGTAGTTTATTCAGCAGAAGAGTTAAAATTTGAATTTAGGGCCCTCCGTGATGGTGCAGCAGGTTGAAGCACAGCACTAAGAAGCTAAAGCCACTTCGGCATAAGTTTGGTCCTTGTCTCAGAGGTGATCCACACGGCGAGGCAGACCTCTCCTGACCCGCCCACTGCTCCCCTCAGCAGTATACTTCATCGATCTGCCTTTTCTGCTCCTCACTCTGTCTCTAGTGAATCCTTTCACCACCCCTGCACCTCTGGCCTTACCCCAGTTCTGTATGCATAAATAACTAAAGCTTTTTAAAAATTTGAATTTAATCTTACAGATTAGTTAGGCACCTAGGATGAGTCTGCTGTAAGAGTTGAGCACCAAATTTAGATGTTTCTTATTACCTAAAGCAAAATGAAAAATATCATAATAGGCTTAAAAATGAATTTAAAATGTGAATTGGCTCTTTTCAAGTATGTCTTAAAAGTGAGAATTTATTTCTTATAAGATTAAATTTTTCTGTCTGTTGTTATTTGAAAAATATATCACCAGAAATCCATACCAGCTGTGTGGACATCTGTAGTCCGGTTTTCTTTTTCCCTTTAATTTCATCCTGAATATTCGGGAGCTTTGGGGACTCACTTGAATAATTAGCAAACATGTCATACAAGCTGTGCTATAATGAGTCCTGTAATTTTTCATTGGAAATAATAAAACTTTGTCAGTGTCATAATTTTACATTTTATTCAAGTAAGACCCAGTTTGAACTTTGGGTCTCAAGGAAATTCTTTTTATGTTTTATGTATCTCAATGGTTTAAACTTTAAGTTTTGAAATACTTTTCCCTAGCTGACTGTTAAAACAGTCTTTCTAAAATGTGTCAGTAATAATTAACATGATTTTGTTTTCCTTTTGTATATGCTTCTTATTAATCAGTCATTCAATTTTAGGTATGTTCATAATGGAGGATGACCGATTTGGCAGCAGTTCAACAAGTACATTTTTCCTTGACATCAATGAAGATACAGAACCAGCATTTTATGATCGACCCGGACCTATAAAGGATAAAAATTCATTCCCTTTCTTTGCTTCTAGTAAACTTGTGAAGAATCGTATCTTAAATTCTCTTACTTTACCTAATAAAAAACATCGTAGTAGTAGTGATCCAAAAGGCGGAAAAGCATCATCTGAAAATAAGACAACCAACAGAAGAATCAGAACACTTACGGAGCCCAGTGTTGACATTAATCATAGTGATGATTTTACACCCATATCCACAGTACAGAAAACATTACAATTAGAAACGTCATTTGTTGGGAATAAGCACATTGAAGATACGGGTAGTACTCCAAGTATTGGAGATAATGACTTAAAATTCCCTAAGAGTCTTGGTACTGAGAATCACAAAGAAAACACAAGCCGAGAGAGATTAGTTGTAGAAAGTTCAACGAGCTCACACATGAAGATTCGTAGCCAAAGTTTTAATACAGACACTACAACAAGTGGCATAAGTTCAATGAGCTCAAGTCCTTCACGAGAGACAGTAGGTGTAGATGCTGCAACTATGGATACAGATTGTGGGAGTATGAGTACTGTGGTAAGTACTAAAACTGTTAAAACAAGCCACTATTTGACACCACAGTCTAATCATCTATCTCTCTCCAAATCAAACTCAGTGTCCCTGGTGCCTCCAGGTTCTTCTCATACACTTCCTAGAAGAGCACAGTCCCTTAAAGCACCCTCTATTGCTACAATTAAAAGTCTAGCAGATTGTAACTTTAGTTACACAAGTTCTAGAGATGCCTTTGGCTATGCTACACTGAAAAGATTACAGCAACAAAGGATGCATCCGTCCTTATCGCATTCTGAAGCTTTGGCATCTCCAGCAAAAGATGTCTTGTTTACTGATACGATCACCATGAAGGCCAACAGCTTTGAGTCCAGGTTAACACCAAGCAGGTGAGCATATATGTTTAAAAATTAACAATAATGGTTGCATTTAACAGTTTAAAATGTGAAGCATTTGCCAGGTTTTACATCTCCTAAGCCTCAGAACTGACCTATTATAATTGTTTACTATGGTAGGCTGTAAGCTCCTAGTTACCCGATATGATTTGAAATGGATTCTTGCAGCTGCGATGGGGGGAAAAGAAATTTCTTTAGGCCCTAAAAATAAATTTACATATTTTGCAAGGACATACAAGTCACAAGCTTTTTTTTATTTATTTCTCGCTTCTGCAAGGATCGATTTTAAAAAGAAGCATGTCGGGGGAATCAGGAGCTTAAGACCTACAATAACAAACAACCTTTTCAGGTAGGTCAATTTAAGGCTCCAAAAGTGACGTTTTTTCTTTTTTTTTTAAGATAACTGAAAATTTCAGTGAAATTTGTTTCAAGTAGTGCGATTCATAAGTAGGAACCTAAGAAACATTAAATAAATTAGTTGGGCCTCAAATTTCAGCAGTATAGTTGGCCTGTGCTCAAGAGCATTTTGGAAATTTCCATGCCATACCTAAAGATTACATCCATTTGCTCAAAAGACTTAAGATACTTACCTTTAAAAGATGAGCAAAGTTACGTTTGATTGTTGCAAAAATTGTGTTCCTATTTTTTTTGTTATTGGGCCACATGTTTCAACATAATTTTAGTTTTTGAATATTTGTCTGCATTCAAATTGATTACTTTTAATCAATACTTAGAACAGTGTAATAAGCACTTAATAAAAATTAAATATTCTGAATACTATTGTTCTGAGTAGTTACTTCTTTAAGGTAATCTATTTGACTCTTTTTTAAGATTTTTTTATAATCTATTATTACTTTTTTGTAATTTACTTTTTTATTTATATCTTTACATCATTTTATATTCTCTGTAAAATTCTCACCACCAGCTCACCTGTGAACTGTCACCATAGTCCTTGTACTCTTGTCTCCCATTTTGATCCCATTTCCTCCCCCTCCTTTGCAGAATGTCTCTTATTTATGGGTGCTTGCTAGGACTGCTATTATTATCATTAATATTGTTATTTCCTTTTCCTGATTTCTTATCTGGTTCCCCTGTATTTCTCCTATAAGTGAAACCATTTGATATTTTTCTTTTTCTTTCTGGCTGATTTCACTTCTATGATCCCTTCATGCTTTGTCCATGTTGCTGCAAATGGCATAAGGCTATATATTTTTTTTTATTGCTGAGTAGTATTCCATTGTGGATATATACCACATCTTCTTGAGTCAGTCATCCATTTTTGGGAATTTGAGTTTTTTCCATTACCTTGCCAATTGTAACTAGTGCTGCAATAAACATAGGGGTGCAGGTATCTTTTTGAATTCATGTTTTTGTGTCCTTTGGGTAGCTTCCTACAAGTGGAGTTGCTTTGTCATATGATAGCTCCATTATTAGGAATTTGTGGAACCTCCACACATTTCCATAGTAGTTGGATGAATTTGCATTCCCACAAGCAGTGTAAGAGACTTCCTTTTTCTCCACATCCTTGCCAACATTTGTTGTTGCCTGCTTTTTCAATATATATCACTTTCACTGGTATAAGATGGTATCTCATTGTGGTTTTGATTTTCATTTACCTGGTTAAAAGTGATGTTGAATATTTTTTTCATATAATGGTTGGCCATTTGCATTTCCTTTTTTTTTTTTTTTAAAGATTTATTTATTTATTCATACAGAACTGGGGTACAGGCCAGAGGCTCAGGGGCAGTGAGAGGCTTCACCAGAGACAGAGCGGGGAGCAGAACAGGCAGATTGACGAAGTACACTGCTGAGGGGAGCAGCGGGCGGGCCAGGAGAGGTCTGGCTCGCCATGTGGTCTCCTCCGGGGCAGGCGGCAGGCGGGAATTGAACTCATGCGGAAGTGGCTTCAGATTCTCAGTGCTGCGCTTTAACCCGCTGCGCCACCAGGGAGGGCCCTGCATTTCCTTTTTCTTGAAGTGACTTTTTAGCTCTTCTGTCCTCTTTTTTTTTTAGGTTTTTGTCATCAGTCCCTTATCAGTTGTATTGTGTACAACAATTTTCTTCCAATCAGCAGGGTATCTCTTTGTTTTGGTTGGTGTCTCTTTTGCAGTACAGAAGCATTTTGGTTTGATGTAGTCCCAGTTCATCTTTCTGTTTGCTTTGTTTGCTTGGACAATGTGTCTTTAAAGATATTACTGAGCTCTATATCATACAGTGTTTTCCGATGTTTTATAGTTTCAGGTCTTTCATTCAGGTCTTTTATCCATTTTGAGTTGATTTTTGTGCATTGTATGAGGTAGTAGGCTAGCTTCATTCTTTTGCAAGTATCAATACAGTTTTCCTTCCCAGGACCACTTATTAAATAAACTGTCCTTGTTTCATTGTGTATTCTTAACTACTTTGTCAAAGATTAGTTGTCCATAAATATGTGGGTTTGTTTCAGGTTTTCTATTCAATGTCTTTGGTCTGTGTCGGTTTTTTTGTTCTAGTACCATACTATTTCAGTTACTATGGCTTTGTAGTATAGTTTGAAACCAGGGTGTGTGATACCTCCATCTCCTTTTTAGTCAGTAGAGCTTTATCTATTCGAGGTATGTTTGTGGTTCCATATGAATTTCATCAACATTCGTTCTATTTCTTTGAAGATTGTCATTGAAATTTTTTTATTATTCTTCATTTTGTACATTTTTTCATCTCAGTTGTTAATTCCCATGGACTTCCCACCACCACTTCACCCATGTGCTATCACCATAGTCCCTGTGCTCTTCCAGTCCGTTTGTCATTGAAATTTTTATCGGACTAGCAGGGAATTATAAATTGCTTTTAGTAGGATGGCCATTTTGATATGTTATCCTTCCAGTCCATGTACAAGGGATGGCTTTCCATTTCTTTGTGTCTTCTATTTCTTTTCACAGTGTCTTACAGTTTTCTTTCTATAGGTCATTATCTCTTTTAGTTTTATTCCTAGGTACGTGGTTTATTTTGGTCTCAGTTGGTCTGTTTAGGCATTCTATTTCTTTATCTAGCTTTGGATGATTGTATAATTCAAGGAATTTGCCCATCTCTTCCAGATTATTGAACTTGTTTGCATATAACTCTGCATAATCGATGATTGTTCTTTTTATTTCTGCTGTGCTATTTGGCTCATATTATCACATTCTTAATAACATTAAGACATTTTAAGCAGTTTTACTTAAGTAGTACAAACATTATTACTACTAGTAGAAGGAATTCCTGGTAGCGGATAATAAAGTGACACTTTTGTACAATTTTTTTAAAGATATATGATTTATGCATACAGAACTGGGGTATAGGCTAGAGGTGCAGGAGTGGTGAGAATATTCACCAGAGACAGAGCGGGGGCAGGACAGGCAAATAGATGAAGTACACTGCTGAGGGAAGCAGCAGGCAGGACAGAAAACGTCTGCTGCACCATGTGGCCACCTCCTTGGCGGGGGATTGAACTCATGCTGAAGCTGCTGTGGCAAGCTTTGTAGTGCTGCATTCCAACCCAATGCACCAGCAGGGAGAGCCCCCACTTTGTAAAATTTCATACATTTTGCAGTGATAACTATTTGGAACTCAGCAACTTTGATATCCTCATAATCCATAATCTCAAAACCAGATAAATCTGTTAACTCACCAGTGTAAATCTGTGCATTTTAGTTCATGAATTAATTACAAGGAAGTACCTCTGACTTACATACAGACATTACAGATACTATATCGAGTGTGAATATCAGGTTTTGAGACTTAAAGAAGCAACAATTAGAACTTTCTACAGGTAGACATACTCTAACAGAAAAGGACAACTAATAAAATTGGCAACAAAGGAGGAGACTTTTGTACTATAGAAGTATTTGAGAATTCAAAGACCTTAATATTCTGGTAGTAATCCACCAGAGGTAATAAGTAATAAATCACAACAAAAGAAATAGATATACTACCAAAGTGCTGTTAACTCTGAATTGTACAGTTAAGTTTTTTACACCTCAATGAAGTAGACATTCAAATTCATTAAAGCATAAGATAAAAAATTAGTCCTTAAATATTCATAAGAATAAACCAGAAAAAAAAAATGTCTACTCCAAATAACTTAGTCCCTGACCAGTCTGAGTTCTTAGGATCTTACTTCCTATATTCTCTATTAGAATAGGAAGGTATTTAAAAATTTTATTCCTAGAGTAAAATCCCAAGTTATTGGCATTATAAAGGCTGAAGACATATTTTTAACTTGGAAGGCAAAATAAGAAAAAGAAATCCAAGCATAGTAGACCTCTCCTGTCTCATCTGCTGCTCCCCTCAGCAGTGTACTTTGTTGATCTGCCTATTCTGCTGCTCTCTCTGTCTTTCGTGAATCCTCTCACCACCCCTGCATCTGTAGCCTGTACCCCAGTTCTGTTTGCATTAATAAATCTTAAAAAAAAAAAAAAATCCAAGGAAAAGCAGTCAAGAGAAATTGGATCAGACTCTACGGAGACATGAAGGTATAACAAAATTTTATACTTGCAACATTTTGTTTATTCAAATTTTACTTAGGTCTTACTATGTAATATGTGTCAGTTGAGGAAAAAATTGTGTTGACATTAGTCATCTGTTTCTATTTTTCATATTTATATAAAGATGCATGTTTTACTTCATTTTGCGCAACTTTTGATTTTGCTCTCTTATGTAGTCCCCATAAAATTCTCACCACCAAGTCACAGTGGCCCATCATCATAGTCTTATGTGCTCTTCCCATCTGTGTTTAGCCCTCTCCACCCTCTCTCCTGCTGAATGTCTCCAATTTATAGTTGCCTTCTAGTTTTGCCTTTTTTCCACCCTGGTCCTTTATTTGGTTCCCCTGAATTCCTCCTATAAATGAAACCACCTTATGTTTTTCTTTTCCTTCTGACTTATTTCACTGAATATAACCCCATTCTACTCCATTCATATTGCTGCAGAGGGGATGGTTATCTTTTTTATTGCTGTGTAGTATTCCATTGGGTATATATACACCATATCTTCTTGATCTAGGCTTCTATTTTTGGGCATTTAGGTTGTTCCCAGATTTTAGCCTCTTTCTTTTTATCCTTTGGTTCATGAAAATGATGGAAAATAACTACAAATTTACTTTAAACAATAGTTTGGGATTCAGTTGTTTTTGTAAAACTTCAAAAGTACAATGTTGTAACAACCTTAAAAATCATTACCTCACTGCAATATTTCCTTAGATCAATGAGAAAAAACACTGATGTAGGAATTCTTAATTGTGAGCACTACTGCAGGCATGAAGTGAATGAATTTGGGCAAAGTCTAATAAATTCTCTGATAATCTCTCATCTGTCAAGAACTAAACAGCTTTGCAAACTATTATCAATCCAGCACAAAGGCAGGCCAACCTCTCAATTTGCTTACGTTATAATCTAGTAAAGTTCATGAAATCTGAAGTAACTAGGCTTCAATTGCCTTATCTTGTGGATTTTGCACTGGATTAGTGGTTTTAAGCTTCTTAAATATTGCTTTTTAAGTAAATAAACCTTTTCCTCCCATAAAAACATGTCTTTGGAAATGCAATATGTAGAATAGTTAAAAATGGAACTATTCTGGTTGAATTTGGGACTGGGAAGGCAATTAATTCTATTATGACCCTCCTCCCATTTCCAGTAGTTCTTGAGGAGTGTTGTGGAATCTGATTTTATATATAATAAGTTAAAAACCACTGATCTATTTATGTGAAATTTCAATATTTCAGTTGTGATTAGTTTTTTTTTTTTTGAGATTATGCTGTGCTAGTATTAATAGCTGCTATTTATGAACCATTTGTTATGTGTGTTTTACAAAGCAATTTTTTTTATATAGCATCAGGATACAGTAGCATCTTTGAAATGAGACATAGGTTTCCAAATAGTGTGCCATACATATACAGTAGAACCTTGCATAGTGCCTTTTATATGCAAAACATGCCAAATATTTGAGCATGTCTGCTGCACAGATTTCAATCTGTATGGGAAGAATGCATCTAGTGGAAATACCAGTGTATCATATTTGTAATGGAGTTACAAATTAGCATGTTGAGGAAATATCAGTGCTTCATATGCTGCTAGTAATATTTACAAATGATTATACCATTGCTGTTTTGCCTCTTCAAAAATCTTATATTGATTTATCATTAAAATCATTACAACGAAAAGCATAAGTAATCTTATTTTTCATAAAAATAATTTTGAGTTAATAGACATGCCATTAGTTTTCTAAAAGCAAATCTAGCAGTCTTAGTGATTGTAAAATGGTCTAGATGATACCTCTGAGTTTTGAAGTCAGTTTCTTTTTTACTTCTAGATATTGAAAGGTGTATTAACTGCTCTCTTTTTCAACTTAGCAGGGAGACCAATGCAGGTGATTTTGGCAACAGTCAATGTTACCTATGAACTTTTGTATATCTATCTGTAATAGCTGAATATTTTCAGGTTTACGAGAATTCTCAATAAACAAGTTGGCACTGCTTGTTACTTTTTAGTAGCCCTTTTATAGTTTGTATGCAAGTATAGAATACTTGCATATTATTAGAATTTTTTATATCATTAATATTACAGATTAAGGTAATCATTGGTGGTTTTTATGATGTTATAGGTTTATGAAAGCTTTAAGTTATGCTTCATTGGATAAAGAAGATTTATTAAGTCCTATAAATCAAAATACCCTGCAACGATCCTCCTCAGTGAGATCCATGGTGTCCAGTGCAACATACGGTGGCTCAGATGACTATATTGGTCTTGCTCTTCCAGTAGACATCAATGATATATTCCAGGTATTATAAATTCTGTTTCATATGAGTTAGTTTCCTTTTTTTTTTTTCATATTATATAACTACTTACTAGAATTATAATTTAGAATGAAAATTAATTTCAGGTGAAACTGATTATTAAGGCAAACTCATCTTAAGAAATTTTATGATGAAAATTACTCAGCCTTTCTGGACTAGTCTATCCTCTTTAATTTCTCAATCCCTAGAACATTATTCCTTCCCATATTAAATCAGGATATTGTTTGATTTCTTCATCATTATCTAATTGATCACATTTTATGACTTTCTAGCTTTACTTTTTGTCACATTTGAGTCTTTGATTGTTTTTATGTTTAACTGATAAATAATTATGTATATAGAACATCGTGCCAACTGGAGGTATGCAATGTGTCTCCCTTTCCTTTTTTTCAGTCTTCTATCCGTTTTAGCCCATACAGGGAAAGTATGCAGACATGTAAGGTCATCCTAGTCACATGAAATTTACAATTTCTACATGGAAGATAGTATTAGAATGTATATTTGTTCAATGTCTAAAGAGATTATAGGTAAAAGCTGAAATGGTTATTTTAATATCCATTTAAGTGACCAAGAATAGATAGGACTTTTAGGATTATTTGATATTTTCTCAAGTTTTGATAATATGTCTTTTAATAAAGTTTTGCTATAGGTTCATCTCCTATAATAAGTCTGTTTTAAATGTCATTTCACTTTGCTAATATTTATAAAGTGGGCTTTTTACAACAAGACTTACCATGATTTATACTTTATTTAGGTAAAGGATATTCCATATTTTCAGACAAAAAACATACCTCCACTTGATGACCGAGGTACAAGAGTGTTTGCCCATGATGCAGGAGGTAATACATGCATTTTTTCTTGTTAAGAGAAGGTTAATTAAAAAGAACTTTCAGTAGGATGACATTAAAAACTCAGGTATACTTAGTTTTTGGATCAGTTTAAAATTTGTGTCAAAACAATTGAGTCATTTTAAACTTAAACCAGTTTTGTTTTTTTTTTAAGCCATATTCTTTTTGCCTTAGAACATGTTTTTCTAATTATGTACCCAGCCTCTCAAAAAGACAAAGCAAGATAAATTCCTCTTTTTCAATAAAAGTAATTGATGAAAAAATTGAAATACTAATCTTCATAGGTCTAGAATAAGCTATTTTGGGGTAGGAAACAAAAAATACCTACTTATAAATCATCTCTGATATAAACTAATATTTTAGTAAGTATATGCATATCACTCACAAATTCAGAGCTTCATGATTTTTAAATAAGTACACAGAATTCTTTCAAATTCAGAAAAATACTTTAGACTCAGAATTCATACTTTATACAAATATTGAGGATAATCGATGTGATGCCTTAATTATCTAATCTTAGTTTTCTATTTTATATTTAAAACCTCATATTAAAATAATGTAAACATATCTACAACTTTATTTAAATAAAATTATCCTTCCTAGATTTTTAAGTCATAAGAGTGTTGGCTTTAACCTTTTCTTTTAAAAAATGTCACAGTGTTACATACCTAAAAGAGTTGTAATTGTTGCTATCTTTATTATGTTTTATGTTTACTCATGTATAGGTCTTCCCTCTGGAACTGGAGGTCTTGTGAAAAACTCTTTTCACCTGCTCCGACAACAGATGAGTCTGACAGAAATAATGAATTCAATCCATTCAGATGCTTCTCTGTTCTTAGAAAGTACAGAAGACACTGGACTACAGGAACATACAGATGACAACTGCCTTTATTGTGTCTGTATTGAAATTCTGGGTTTCCAACCCAGTAACCAACTAAGTGCAATATGTAGTCATTCAGGTGAGTGCTTATATCCTAAATGAATATGCTTGAATCTGAATCTGCTTCAGTCATAAGTCATCTGCCAGCCCTATTAATCATTCTTTTGACTCCATTCTTATTATCTCAGCGTTAATTCAATCTCTCAACAACTCCCTGTTAGAGATGGCAGATATATACCATTACTGATTTGAAATTTTCTAACAAACTATGCTCTTTTTGGTGATTATAGGCATGAAAAATGTGTTTTCCCTGCTGTTCCCTCATATTCCTCCTCTTGCTCATTCACAGACAAACACCATCTGTTTAGTAAGTCAGCCTCATCCTAAGTGTCAGAGTGTTTTATATGTGATGCTCTCTCTGACTATCTTAGATATTGACACTCCTTTCTCTTGTCCTTTGTGCATGGATCTCATAATTATTGCTTGGTGGTTCTTTTTCACTTCCATTTAGGAAATTCTTTCAGGATATGGTCTTATTTTCTATTACTAATATCTAGCTGTGTACTGCTTTCCAGAGTAGGCATTAAGTATGTATTTGGTTGAGTGAGGTAATAAAGTGGACTCAGATTCAGCTTTTTTTATGATTCAACAAGTGATATGTATTACCAATTTTAAATCAGTATAGATGTGTTTGAAATACTAGCATAGACACCTTTTCTTGGTGAGTACCACTTTGCCACTCTCAGAAAAGCCTTATGATGACCAAAGTTTTCTGGGTCACTCTTCCAAATTTCTTCTTGTTATTCTGATTCAGAACTTCCCAGCTGATAGTTTAACAGCACTGATAGGTGATAGGTATGTGAAGATATTAACCCCGTCAATGATTCAAAGACACTATGGGGTCACAAACTCTTGGGCTCAGCATTTTGCACTGAACAGCCTTGTCCATGGCCCCTATGTGTGTACTTCCATTTTCTGTGAGTGTAAGTTTTGAAAGTATTCTTCTAATGTATGGTACACAGTAAAGAAGGTGCTATTTAAAATCACTTGGCTATACATTGCTTTGCTTTAGTTCCAAGTTCTGCTTCTTTGTTTACTCATTCAACAAGTACATAATGAAACACTTACAAAGGAGCTTTAATATACTGTTTTATACTTAACGCAGGTGTTAGATTGAGGAGCAGCAGAGGGTGAATAACTTAGTTGGAAAATTATATCCATTTCGGAGATGTGAGGGAGGGAGGCTAAGTGTTAAAAAGTCACTGAATCAGTAAAACTTTAAACTAGTTGGTAGAAAAAACAATTGTAGGAGGGAAAAAAAATAAAAAGGTATTTTTTCATGCTTTGAGCTTTAATTTATTCCAGTGGGGAAAGAGATTGGTTACTTGGTCAATGCAATGTGAGTATACTGCTTTTGTAGTTAGTGCCATCAGACATTATGTATGATATTAACAAGAAAATATAACCAAATATGCATGTCAAAGAAGAGACTTCTTGGGGCTCCTGGTGACCTAGAAGTTAAGTCTCAGTGCTGCCACCATGAAGGCCCACTATGATGTCCTGAGTTCAGTCCCTAGCCAGGGAGCTAACCCACCTGGCATAGCAGACTTCTGTTTTGCCCACTGCTCCCATTAACAATGTATTCAGTAGATCTGCCTGCTCTGCTCCCCACACTCTCTCTGGTGAATCCCCTCACCTCTGGCCTATACCCCATTCCTACACAAAAATAAATAAATAAAATATTTATTTGAAAAAAAAAGAGAAAGAGAGACTTCTTTAGAAGTTACTATTGAACTTTGGTCTAAAGAATGAATACAAACTAATGAAGAGAAGACTAGGGTCTATAAAGCTTAAACATAAAATGGTATTAAGCATAGGTCTTTTGATGGCATTAGATTGAGAAGTAAGAGACTTTAAAAACACATATTTGAATGGGAAGAAAGGGGAAGAAGATGGTTTTAAAAAAATAGGTGGAGCACAGCCCTTGCTCCCCTTAGTGGATTAGCAGCATTAGCATCAACTGAGCACCTGTTAGAAATGCAGAATCTCAAACTTCATCCCCCACCACAAAACTTGCATTTTAAACAGGTATCAACACTTAAACACAAGAAATTTCACTCCAGTCTAGTGGTCATAGTGTCAGTGATTGCTCAAATGAGACTATTAGAACAGTATATTTAGTAGTATTTTATTTTCTGGCATTTTCCCAGATATTTATGCATTGTATGATTGTAGAGTGCCAGACAAAGTGCTTCGGAAAGTTTGGTATTACACATTTCTGTTGGGTCTAATTTACATATACTACCACATATTCCTTAGTGTAGGTGACCAGCCTAAAAAGGAAACCTTACAAGTTTTAGGTCATATACCATCTAGAAAGAGAAAACATTACCACAAGAAGAAAAAGAAACGAAAAAAATCAACTATTAAAGATAGGGTCAAGAAGATCAAAGTTATCCCTTGATAACTGTAAGGAGTGGGTAGAAACTACATAGGAAAAGAAAGAGCCTATTGTGTTTGCGTAAGTCTTAAATAGGCATAATAATACATACTCTTTGGTATTATGTTGGCATTTAATAGCATGTAAATTAGCATTCAGTAAATTCTCTGTAGATATCAACTTACAGTAAGGTGTTTATTTTAGAAATAAGTTCTCATAAATTCAGATAGCCCTGCTTATCAACTAGGTCTGAAATACCATGCATCTCTTACCTGATTATTTTGCATATCTTTAGTAATAGTTTTATTTTTAAATATATAATTTAAATAGCATATTTACTTTTAAGTATGTTACAGATACATGATGTCTTTAATGACCAAAATTTAAAACTGTTCTAAAATAATAGGGCTTCTTTCTGCTCATTGTTAATAGTGTATAAATAGTAACTTTAGGAACTGCTTGTTGTAGGTAAGATGAGGTGTATGTGGAAAAACAACATGGAGAGAGGTGGTATGTGTTCACATTGTCCTAGTTTCCTGGACTTTAAAAAAGAACTTTACTCTGATGCTGTGCTGCAGTACAAAAAGTAGTAGATTGGCTCACTTTCTGGCTGTATTTCCCCTCTCTGAATCTGGAACGAATGTACAGTATTTCTTATAGTACCAGTGTCTTATGGAGTCAGTTGCCCAATATCATTACCTGAAAGGATAAAGAAAAATGTCTTGATTTCCATGGTTCTCATAATTTAATTTAAATGCTCAGAAAAACTTTAAAACAAAAAGTTTGTCATTTATAATAACACTAAGATGTTTAGTTAGCTTTAAAATCCCACTAGGCAGTTATTCAGCAATTTGTAGGTAGTAAAGTAAATTAATAAATTTAAGGAATCAACTTCTGTTGTTTTTTTTTCTATTGGTGATTATTAAATGAGAAAAATCGGAAAAAATGTCTATTGTATTGGTCTCCTTAAACACCTAGAGAACATGAAAGACAATTTAAAATAGTGAAAGAGGGCCCTCCTTGGTGGCACAACAGGTGAGGACGCAGCACTGCAAGCTGGCTGCAGCCCTTTCAGTGCCAGTTCCATCCCTGGCCCCAGAGGTGACCCACATGGCATGGCAGACCTCTCCTGTCTCGTCCGCTGCTTCCCTCAGCAGTGTACTTCCTCGATCTGCCTGTTCTACTTCCCACTCTGTCTCTGGTGAATCTTCTCATGGCCCCTGCACCTGTGGCTTGTACCCCATTTCTGGGGTATCTTTTAAAAAAAGTAAGTGTCTTTTTAAAAAAAAAAGCAAAAAAAAGCTGAAATCGTGTGTGTGTGTGTGTGCATATGTCTAAAACTTTTAACCACATTTCCCTATAAAGAAATTTATTAAATTTGGGGTACAAGCACTGGGAAGTAAATTTAATATGTTATCTTCATTTTCTATTCATTAGGTATCTTCACTTTTTGTTTGCTATGCATCTTTATTTGAAAATTTTTAGTTAATCGCATATTCATATTTTGTAATTTTAGAATAACAAAGTTTTTGTATAAATATCTTTAGAATTTAACAAATTTCACTAAGCACTCTATTTTGAAAATTTCATGGAAAATAGCTTCTGAAAAGTAGAAATTTAAAAGTAATCATGCTCAGTATAATATAAATACCAGCATAGGTTTTAAAACATTATAATACTTTAATTGAAATAATGTTTTTTTCAGACCTTCAAGACATTCCATATTCTGATTGGTGTGAGCAGACTATCCATAATCCTTTAGAAGTGGTTCCCTCTAAGTTTTCAGGGATTTCCGGATGTAGTGATGGAGTGTCTCAAGAAGGCTCAGCCAGTAGCACCAAAAGCACAGAATTACTCCTGGGTAAGTTTCCATATTCAAGTCCAAGCATTCTTAGTGAAATTGTAGTAATTCTCTTGTTGTTAATAAGTAACGTTAAATTTGTCTCAAAGCTATAATAGGCCAGAATTAGTGAGGTCAGCAGGCAGCTCTTGTGCCTGTATCAGCCATTAGTGTCTACACTCCTTAGCAGTCTGCTTGTGTTAGACTTGTGTTCCTCAAATGATAGCTAGATCATGTACAATTTATGTCATTCTTAGTTCTTTAGGTAAACTTTAAAAACAGATCCCATGAATTATAGTCATTATTCTATGTAATATAAATAAGGTATTTTAATCTTTTCAGGTGTTAAAACAATTCCAGATGATACACCAATGTGCCGTATACTCCTTCGAAAAGAAGTTCTAAGATTAGTCATTAATTTGAGTAGTTCAGTTTCAACTAAATGTCATGAAACTGGACTTTTAACGTAAGTAAACTATGAGCATGAATATGATTTGGTCTGCTTTTTATAGTGAAAAAGGTAACTTTTGGCCTAACCCAGAAGTTAACCAGCTTGCATCAGTAGTTTTCAACTGCGTGGCATTTTGTGTGACTAGATAGTCTCCATATATTTCCAACCAAAATAATATGGGCAACAGATTGAATGCTGAAGCATATATGTGAATCCAGCTGTCTTCTAGTAAGCCAGATGTCAAAGAGCTGCAAAAGTGTAAAAAATAATAGTTTTCTCGCTTTTATTATTTTGGAAAATAACATTTTTGCATTAAATTTTTTTGTACTTATGTTAGCATGTAATAGTGTGTATCTTTTTAAAGAACTAATAAATACCTTGAAATTTTCTCAATTTTAATTCTAATGTGGTAATTACCAATAACTAAACCACAGAAATTAAGCTTTTGGCCTCCTTTATAACTTCTAAGAAAGAATGGATCCCTAAAACTAAAAAGTTTGAGAAAAATTGACTGATCTAAAACAAATGTCTTGGTTTAATTTTACCCATTTTTTTGTTCTTTCACATTAAAATTACAGTATTTTTATGTTTCTGAATTATAACAACAAAATTCAGACTGAATCTTTAACATCTTTGATTTTCACTACGTAGAACAGTAGTCCTCAGAAGAACTGTGTCTTAGTTTCCAGCAAGGCTTTTAAAAAATAATAACAGAGATAACTAGGCCCATTGCATACCTCCTGATCAGAAAATTCTAGGAGTAACGAGTATTTATTTGTATACTACCCCACCATATCCCACAGCTGTCTCTGATGCTTGCTGTCCTAGCTGAAATAATTATTTGAAGGGTGAAAGATGAAGTAAGGTAGTTCAGTCATGCATATTAATAACTTTAGCCTAAGTCTAAAAATTTAAAACTTAATTTTGGGAACATTTGCATCATTATTAACTGGTAAATTTTGATTTTTGCAATTACTTATGCCTGTGAAAAAGACATTTCTAGCTCCTAGGAAGCATTTTGATTTTGGCCATGTTAACAGGGAACCTAGAATTTAAGATTTCTTAAATGTGAGGCATGAATATTTAATAATTGGAATTCTTATGCTATCACCTTAATTATTCCATATCAGTGTCTGGAAGGAGGAAAAAAAACTGCTTTAAGAATTGATACTTTCACGAAAAAATAGTCAGTTGTTATTACAATTTTTAATCACACTGTACACTTTCCTTTCATTTTAGAATTAAGGAGAAATATCCTCAAACATTTGATGATATATGCCTTTATTCTGAGGTTTCCCATTTGCTGTCACACTGCACATTTAGACTTCCCTGTCGGAGGTTCATACAAGAATTATTTCAAGATGTACAGTTTTTACAAGTAAGTAGGATGTTCTTCTGAACCAAGAACCATTTGTGTTTCACTTGAAACAAATTATACCTGTGTACATACTAGAACGATGTTAACAACTTACTGCTTGTTTCCTAGATGCATGAAGAAGCAGAGGCTGTGTTGGCAATACCACCAAAGCAACCTATAGTTGATACATCTGCTGAATCCTGACCTCATATTTATGATTTAATAGATATATATTATATTCTATTTGTGGATTTCCGAAAAAGCCTCAGAAAATGCTGACTGCCTGGGCAACAAATACAGGGGTATCTTCTGCATCCAGTTCCAACAATTACTGGTACATAGACAGTCGGAACTGCAGACTTCTCTAACCAAAACGACTTCCTATCTACCCCACTGAACCCTTTTGGGGCTTCACTGTTCATTACCACAGTTTTAAAGAGTTTTAGTTCCATTGTATGCAAGAGCGAAGCACTGAACACCTGGAGAGGTTTTCTAGTTTTTTCATTTTAAATGCATCATTAAGTGGAACAATAATAGGGTTTGCAGAAGCAACCACCACAGTTATTTCTGAATTCCTTTTTTAGGATGAATCTAAAGATGCCTTGTTTATTAACTAATTCTTGGAAACCAGGAATCAGTGTCTCTGAGGCCACATCCTGTTACCACAGTGGAGTGTGCTGTAACTGCTGGTATTAGAGGGGGATCCAGGCCCTTCCACGTTTTTCTTAATGTTTATAACACTACTTCAGAGGTTCATAACCTCAAAGCAAAAGAAGAGCCTCAACAACTCGGGACTTATAAGTTATTTTTTGTTACTAGACTTGCATAAAGTTTCTTAGTTGTTTTCCATCTCTTCAGTTTTGTTGCAATGTGTTGTTTTAGGCTATTTGAACCAACTAAGGTTTTTCACTACAGTTCCTGATTAAAATCACAAAATCACTTTATAATTCAAAGTATTTCTCTTCATGAATGCATATATTTTCAGTCCATCTACTTTCATCAGCTTCCCATATCATCATTTTAAACAGGAACTTGAACAAGCACTATTTAGACCTAAAGCAAAAGAAAGCATTAAATAACACTTTGGATCTCCTGAGGAAAAGATAAGTTTGCCTACAATTTACACATTCCATGGGAAAAGAAGAGCCATATTTCCTTTTTACAAATCATTAGAGAAACTTACTATGGTTAAAAATTGTAGTGAAAAGCCTTAAATACCAAATTTTAAAGTAGCAGTAATTTAGTTTTTATATCAGTGTTCTTGTTTTGCACAAACTAAATGCAGTGATAGGTGAGTTTATGAGTACAGTAATTGCCTTTGTCACATTTGTGAAGTTGTTAAGCTGATGAGGGCAAGGTTTTGTTTGTTTAATTTGTATATGTCTAAAGATATTTGGAAATCTTTACAGAAATTAAGCATATATGCAAATTTGTATATAAAAGTAGCATGGTCAACATCACTAGAATGTTTGTAAATGAAAGGATTATCTTCTTTTGAGGTCTATATATACATAGAAAAATATCCAGCTGGACTGATTAGGACCCTTTTTAACTCATGTGCATATACCATTTTTACAGTTACACATCAGCTTTGACACAGTCATAGTCCATTGATAAATGTTTTCCCATGTTATAGATTCTTTTTCAAATGGACTTGTTCTTTGAGATCTCTGTAAAGAACCCTGTGAACTAGAAAACATTAACTCACATAGATTTTTTTTTTTTTTAAATTTACTAGCACTGAAAGTTCCAATTGGGATGATGCATTTCATCTCACTTCATAACACCTCTTTGACTGCACTTCAGTGAATTGTTCTTATGTGCACTGTGTAGCAACTTACATTATAACAAAGCAGATAAGGGCTCTAAGCTGCTGCTTATGTTGAAAAGTGGTTCTTCAGATTTTCTCTCATAAAATTCAATTGAAGATATAGCAAATACTTTTTTAACTTTAATTTATTACTGAACACAAGTGTTTATTTAAATGTCAGCAGTACTTTTAAGAACTTTTTTTTTGTCACCTTGGTCTCTGGTCTTGGATGATTAATCTACTTTCCAGAGAACCAAATGTCAGAGATAGTAGACCAAATAGTGGTTTAAAACTCCAAAGGAGGTAATGTAGTGATCTTATTCATATGGGATTAACATATTTTAGACATTCATTTTAAACACTACCTCAGTTAATATAGAATATAAAATCTGTGGTTAATATCTCAAAAATTAACAGCAATTTTATTTTCTTCTTTTTTTTTTTGTTCACACACAACCATCCCCATACCTGGACCCTACTTTCGTCATCCATTCTGAAATGAAGTCTTTGTCACTATTAGCCTGAACAGTTTTTTTGACTATTACTTAAAAAGACATGTATGTATACATCATAATACTTGCCTATAGCACTTAGTTTGGGGAGACATTCAGAACTTTGTGGTTATCACTAAAATTTAGGGGGAAAATGTCTGTACTTAAATTTATAGTGCTATTTGGTTTATCCATGTTTCACTGACAGGTCTAATATGTTTTCTTTAAGTACTTGTTTATATAAAAGTAGACTTTAGTGATGAAAAATGCTCACATGCAGTGCCAAGTGATTAATTTAGGTGTTTAAAACATAGCAGAAAAGATTAGGGATGTGTCAGTGATAATAAAAATAATTGAAAAAAATTACCTATAAATAGTAGAAATTACCAGATTTAGAATACCAAAATAATATCGATACTGTAGGTTTTCAAGATTTTAGAATTAATCTTAGTCCATAAAAATTTGTACTACTGGTAATTAATAATTTGGAGGAATTTGGGCAGTTGTGCTGGTTGTAAATTGTGAATTTCTAATTGTGAATTGTCATTTCTAACTGAAATTTTTTTTCAAGAACAGATTTTAGCTTCACAAGACTAAGTAAAATTAAGGAAATTAGAAATTTAGTATTATGAAATATGGTCCAAAATTTCTTAAATACTTTTATTTTTTGTTTATGTTTAAGTAGACTTGAGGGGAGAAAAAGACCTCTTTAATAAAAAAAAAGATTTTCTAATAAACATTGATAGCATAAGGGCAATTTTGTTAGACAGTTGACGTTTAAGAGAAATTCATTGGAGGTACGTTCCTTGTTATATACTCTTACTCTTAACAACATAATGTAATGGTGGCTATAAGCAGTTTCTAGCTCTTTTATCCAGAGCTTGAGATAATTAAAACTGAGTTATTTTGTGCATGTCTCATTGGCAAAGTGTACAATGCAGTGTCAGTGCTTAATTAGCATTTGTCTGCTGCTATTTACATTAAATTTTTTTTCATTCTGTTCAAAGGATACCTTTACCCCCACATTAAATTAAAGCACAGATCATGAAGCAATAAAAAACATTCAAATAGTTTGTCATCCAAATTGTAACTGCAGTTATTTTTGCGTAGTAAGAATGAGGCGCAATTTTGTATGAGATAAGCTTTGGGAAATGTGCTTCTTCGCAAGTAAGGTTTTTCCCTTTTTGTCCTATGCTTCCAGTTTTGTCTCACAATCACAGTTCATTGAAACAGAAAAGTTAGAATTAATGGAGGTAATTTTTTAAGATGAGCTGTTAGAATAGAAGGACATTCCAGTTTTTCCAAAACAGAAGCTAGAAAAGGTCTCTTATCTACCCATTTAGGAAATGCATTATTACCAACTTAATTTCAAAAGTATCACTACAGTAAGAGCATACCATGAAATTAATAGCAGAGCTTATCAAATTATTAAAATCTGTGAGAATCTTTCTAGAGGCACTCTTTATTTTAGTTCCAGGTTCCCGGGGTATTTTTCATTCATACTAGTTTTAAATGACTCACACAAAATGTGGGTTTTTCCCCTTCTAGAGTATTTTTGTAATGGAGGTGGGTAGCTGTGCCACAGCATGCATAAATTGCACATTTTGTTTGACTTTCTTTATAAAATATTTAATTTGAAAGATATAATTTATGCCAAAAAAGTATACCTTGTACTTTTGCCACTAAATAGGTTGAGCTAGCACAAATTGCAAAGTCTTAGGGCGGAGGGGGTAGGGATAAAAAATTTCATAAATAGTAGTTGAAAAATAATCCATTACTGGCCTGTCAGAAATCCTAAAGCTGCATTGTAAGAGAAATGGTGTAAATTAGTTTGGAAAGTGGTAAGGGACTGTGGGGGAAAAAAAATTTCTGACTTAATACTCCCTAACCACATGATTTTCTTTTTTTAATTTAGTAATACGCTGCTACATATTTGGAGGTTCTGGTGTTTGTAAGTCACTGAACAGACATTGAAATCTGATTTATATTGTATAACTGTAACATAGAAAGAAAAAGTATTTATATATTTTCCGTAAGAATATTTCATTGTGTATAATTTAAATAAGGTTTGTCCCCAAATGGTTTTGCTCACCTTGATTTTTTTTTTTTTTTTTTTTTGGTTCTCTTGTTTTTGTATATGTGTACAGTTTATGTCAAGGGCATTAAAAGCCTCCTGAAGCATAATCTTATCAAAGGGATACATTGTTAATAAAATGTACTTAAAAATTCTTAAATTTTTTTTTTTTTGGTTCTCTTGTTATTGTATATGTGTACAGTTTATGTCAAGGGCATTAAAAGCCTCCTGAAGCATAATCTTATCAAAGGGATACATTGTTAATAAAATGTACTTAAAAATTCTTAAATTTGTGTTGTTCTATTTGAAAATTTAAAATACTCCACCTGTTGATTGGCCTCATGTACCACTGATGTTGATACTTGCAGGAAAAGGGACTTTGAGGGACCACAGATGATGGTCTAGTTTAATAAGCTCATTTGCAATTCCCAGTGTTTCACTCCTTTTAGCAAATTCTTTATAACTTAATCCTTTACTTAATCGTTACTCTCATTTTTTTAACTACAGGTCATTATAAAGATTTGGAACAATGGATCTATCTTTAGAACACTTCTGGAATTTTTTTCAGAATGAATATACAGTATAAGTAATGATGCTGGGATGGTGACTTTTCTGTGTAAGGTATTTGATTTTTCATCCAGAAACTGTCCTGAGTAGTTCACTAACCTACTACTACCTAGTGGAAAAGCAAATACCATAAGGGGAATGAAATACCATAAGGGTCTGGAGAATAAAATTCAGTGTCAAAGATAAGGTCTGTTTTCAGCTGTTTAAGCCGTTTAACATGTCTCACTTTCAGAAATGCATTTATTTTGGATAATTTGGTCTTAATTTAAGTACATTTCTGTGTAATACTTTTCCCATTGTGTTCCACTTACAGATATCATTCACAAAGTTTTCAGCATTAAATGTAGTTGGCTTTAAAAATAAAGAGCACCCTTCATCATCATACAACTGATCTTTGAAAAGAATGATAAAGGAGCTAGTGGATATCTTAGGGAAAGCAGAAATATAACAGTTCTGCAGGCTGGAAGTTCAAGAGCTGAACACCAGTGTGGTCAGGTGAGGACCCACTTCCTAGTCTCAGACTTTTGGGTGTTTCTCTGGAAAAAGGAGGCTTTGTGCTGGCTTTATGGGGGCCTGAGTCCTGTATAAGTGATCATAACCTAGTCACTCCCGAAAGTCTCCCACATCCCACTGTCATTGGGTCTCTCATCTCCCTTTGAGTTGATTTTAAAAATACATATATATACTAGAGTATTTTTTAATGCTTATCTTAGAGGACTAAGACAACTACATTTGAGTTTGATTTGGATTTACACTGAATTTAAATTGAGTATGCTTTGATGTGTGGTTAAATATCAGTTTACTAATTCTGAAGGCTTTCTATCCACTATTGTGTACCTCAGGGATTTTTTTTGCTTTTTTTTTAAAAGATTTATTTATGCATACAGAACTGGGGTACAGGCCAGGGGTGCAGGGGCGGCGAGAGGCTTCACCAGAGACAGAGTGGGGAGCAGAACAGGCAGATGGATGAAGTACACTGCTGAGGGGAGCAGTGGGCGAGACAGGAGAGGTCTGCCACGCCATGTGGTCACTTCTGGGGCAGGCGGGAATCAAACTCATGCGGAAGTGGCTTTGGCTTCTCAGTGCTGTGCTTTAACCCGCTGCGCCACCAGGGAGGCCATCTCAGGGTTTTAAAAGTTCTGCTTTATTTCAAATGTTTAATATTTTGTAAATGAGATGAAAGGTTATCTTTCCACAGGGCTTTAAAAGAAATATTTGATATTGTCTAGTATTCATTTTCTTAAATACACATTCTGTGGACATCAGTTCCACTAGAATTAATGAGTTTGGAATGTCAGCCAGCACTTAGGCCAGTCAACAGCTCTGTTTGACAAAGTCCCAGGTGCAGTACCTGGAATGCAACTGAAGAGGGCTCCAGGCTTACATGGTACTTACGTAAGTACCATAATACGTACTTGTGTGTCAGTGACAATACTGCCCACCATCAAAATAGCCTGATGATTTCTGAGGGATTACTATTACTAATAATTTGATTTCAGATATGATTCTTTAAAAAGATATTATGAATGACTGTTAGAGAAAGTAGAATCTATTTAGAGAAACGCAAATCTTAATCTGTACTTACAGATTAGGTCTTAAGACTTCAAAATAATAGCAAGAGGGAAGTTGTCAAGAGTATGGATGGGCTGAAACATCCCTGGCTTAGTAGGTACTGGAGCTAATGCTATTTTATAGGCACTTGTTACTGTATTTTCATGCATTTTGAAACTGTTTTATCCTAGTTTAAACAAAAACAAATTTCAAAGTCACTGAAAAAACACTTCATAAACAATGCTGTTAAGTGGTACATTTTCTTGAAAATTAAGGTTTTAAATACTGATTTATTTGGTGGTTATGAACATGGAACTATTTTTATAGCCAAGACACAGTCACAGTGATATTGTAGATGCAGTTACATAGCCCAACATCTTCTCTTGGTGTGTTGTATTTCAGGAAGCCATCCTCATTTGGCTTAGGTCAATGAGTCTGGGAAGATGAGTGTGCATCAGAATGCCTGAGAGCCAAGAAAATAGATTGCAGAAAATAGATTCTTGGTTCACAGAAATTCTGATTAGGTGGTTTTAATAGGTACCCAGGAATTTACATTTTTAGTAAACTCAGGAGGTGATTTGTCATAGTACTAATTGTTAAGTCTTCAGTTCATAAAGAAAATGTAGTGATGAAAATTTCAATTAAGGCTAGTTGCAACAAAAATGACTTCAACATTTTGTGGATTACATTTTACAGAAAATCTAAGGTACTATTTACAGTATCATTGATAGTTCGTGTCCATTTATAACTTCAACATTACAAAGGAACATTAAGAGTGTAAATGACAATACTGGCCTCAAAGTCTTCTTGAAACTAGTAAGAGACTCACTTGGACTGTATTAGGGGTACCTAAACCGATTTTTCAGCAAACGGCTTAGACATAGAGGAGAAATTTGAAGTCCTGAACAGAAGTCCTGTTTGATATGAGTATAGTTAGCTCTCCTTTGTCCTCTCCCTCCCTCCCCCCCTCTCCCAGCTCCTCTCCTCTCTTTCCCTTACATTCCTACTGCCTTTTTCTCCACTCTGCTTGCCTCTCTCTGGTGTTTACTGCTAGCACCACAGTCATTTCTACAACACTGACGGGAGTCAGCAAACAAAAAGGAAGCCTTATTTGTATTGGTTTAGAAATGTCATAAATAACATTAAGGGGTGATGGGCAAAAGGAAGAGAAAGGAACTAACATTTAGCAGCGCTATTGAGTACCTGGTGCTTAGTATGTACTTGCCTTCTCCCACTCCATGTAACTTTTTAGTTAAGTCTAAATGGTGTCCAACAATGAGGCTTCATTATATTAGCATATTAGGATAATTAATGAGATCCTGAAGATGATGCTTGACCCAGAAAACCTATTTCAAAGTTCAAAAGATGCTAAATGTCTGTATTATCGTTCTGGTAGAAAAAAGAGGGAAACATAAAATTTGAATGGGATGACTGAATAATATATTTTCCCTCTTCTATTCTAAAGTAGTTGTAAAAAAAAATATGCTAGAAGACTGGTGTTTACAAAGAAGTGTTACTGTCTTGACACTAAGGTGGAGTTCTTGCCAGTCCCACTCGTAACAGTGAGCTGGAATCTTAGGAGTCGCTCACATCTTCCCTACTCAAAAAGATCTGTGTCCCCAGAATTTTACTGCATCAATGAACTACAAGTTTTTATTACATCTAGGCAAGTCTAAATTCAGTCATTTTCAGGCATCTGTGACTTGCTCATAAACACCCAGACTAAATGAGCATTGACAATTGATGAGCTACTAACAAGTTTGCAGCCTTGATTAAAGCCTGAAATCTACTCCCTTTTATCGTGAACACAAGGGTGAAATTTAATGGGAGCTTACTAAGTAGAAAGTGAATCTTTAGCCCCACAGTCACCCTCCCCAGTATGTAGTGGACAGGGCCTGGAACACACCGAAACAAGGCAAACTTCTTCCCACGATCCTGCCATTTCTACAGCAAACCTGCTGCAGAACTTTGGTTTCATGGCTTTTGGACCTGGGGTGCTGTCAAGATTGTGGTAGTTTTAGGTAAGTGAAACCTGCAAACTGACAGCACACTGGAAATAAGCACCCAGATATCTGGTGATGAAGGAATGGTGTCAGCCATGCTTCCGTGGTGTGTGTGTAGCGTCAGTATGAAGTGAGGATGCTGGTTAGCAGCAAGTGTTCACCTTGATGTGGAAGGGAAATGGAGGGCGTACTCTTAGGTCTCCGTCTGAGGAGGAGGAGCAAGACCCAAAGGTATGGCCATTTGCATTTTATACTCCGAACAGAGTGCTGGCTCTGGGGGATTTGTTGAGAGGTTATCCTTGTCTCCAGATGAGAGTGACGCCAGCTGGGACACATAATTCAAACTAGGTTCTCCAGCTGGGGTTTCTCCCAAAGAGCTCATGTAGTTTTTTTCTAGTGCCTTTAGTAACGGTTCAGGTGCAGTCAATAGTTCCAGCTGATTTGGTGGGGCTCTAGGGGATACTGGGACATGGTTACAAGAACTGGAGTTAAAAGCTGCCTGATTATAGGTGAAGTTCTCAAAACAGACACACGGTCCAGGTCCTGAGGAGTTTTCTGCTGGGAGGAGGTAAAGGTAGGCAGGCGTAGAAGGTCCAGTATCTGTGAGTGACTTCTTCATGCCTAAGAACTGTGCTTTACTCTCTTCTGACTTGTGTATAACTTCAATAGCATCTGGAATGCAGTCGTTGACATTCATTATTGTTACATGAGGATTCTTCTGGAATAGAGACAGAAAACATAAGTTTAGTCTGTGTGTGTGTGTGTGTGTGTGTTTTATTAGAGTATCTAAAATATGTGAAGTTCATTAAAAGCCTCAGTTTTCCTGTTTCATGCTGGTCACAATTTGAGTGCAGGTAGTTTTAAAAACAAAGGGTTCCTTCTGCCATAACAGAGGAGTTGGACTTCTGCTTCCATGAATGCACGGCTGTGGGAGAAGTCATGGCTCTTGTTCTGTCCTCCCCTGGCGGTCTCAGAAAGATGGTTAGTACAGCCCAACCCCAGAGGAGGCGTTAGTAGGTACATGGCATGCAGGCGATTTCCTGGCACTTACCTTGGATTTTATCAATGACAGGACACTGCTCTTGTTAGGATCTGGAATGTCAGGATAGCATTTCTCCTTCATCCTAGAAAAAGTGAAAATTAGACTGGATTTGGCAATATAGTGGAATATTTAGAATCAAGAACAATGGAGTCAAACTCCTGGCACCTAGTTCTTGCTCTGTCATCTACTACCCTCTTGAGCCAGCTACTTATCCCTCCCCCCATGCCTGAATTTTCTCATCAGCTCAATTAATTCTGGTGGTGGTTTGAAGTTTAGGTGAGTGACTAGGTCTAAAACACCTGGCACCGTGCCAAGCGTGCAGCTGAAATGCCAGCATTAGTTACTGCTATTAAACAAGTTTTGCAGTCTTTTCAGGTGGTTACATTTCCTTTGTGTATTGACCTCAAAAGCAATGTTGTTCAATAAATCATATTCTCATCTAAGCTTCCTTTGCCCTTTATTGCACTTTGTTCATATTATTTAGTGTGATTTTTATCTTACCCCTTTTGAGATTTTTCTTTGTCTTTCTTTTCAAATATAATTTTCCTGACATACTTACCACTGGCTTTCCAAGGAGCATATGATGATGATCACCACAACCCCAAAAATCATGAGGAATATGTATATGAGCAGTATATGAGCTGGAAAAGGAAAAAAAGAGGTCTTTTAATGACATTTTTAATTTAAAGTCTACCAGTGGATTATTCAGTTGGGTTGGTAAATACCCTCTTTTATGAATGCAGTTGCCCAGAGAGGGCTCGGAGGCTGACAGTCATTCACATGTTAACACATTTCTGTTCAATATATTAATCTGCCTTCTTGTCTTCCCCATCCCCAGCACCTGGCTGCCCTGGAAGGGAGAGGGTTTGATTTGGGGGTAAAGGGGCGGTAATATTGTTGGAGTTTTGTAAGGGAGGGAAGATCTGGGGTAGATGGGGTAGATGCCCAGGGCCAGTGGAGGACTCTGCAGAGAAAGGCATGGGCTATGTGCACAAGCTAGCCCCTCCGCAGCTGGCACAAAGAGGACCTTGACCTCAGGGCAAGAAGAAACACTCTTCTTGCTCCACCAAAGATCACTTTGCCCTCAAGCTCAGTTACAACACTGCTTTAAAATTGTGGATAAATTATGGATTGATAATGTATTGGAGAACCAGCCTGGGAAACTAATCATAGCAATTTTCAAAGTGTAGATCACTTCTATTAACACATGCAGTACATCCTTTTTTCCTGTACACACGTACATAACGGTGATAAAGAGATTGGCAAGAGGAAATGTCCAAGCTATTCATTCACCAGTCAGACCAGCTGCACACATCTGCTGGAGGTGATGGGGTTCTACGTGCATGGGTGTGATGAAGAGTTTCATCTAGAAACAAGCTTACAGAGAACGAAAGCTAGAGAAGTTAAAAAAAGAAAGATCTAGACCAAGTCCAAGGCAACTGCATGTGAAATTTGTTCGTTTCCCTGGAACTTCTAGAGGAAGAGTTTTGATTTGGAAAACTCACAATGATCATCCGGAGTGGTGACCTCTGTGAAAGAGGCCAGGGGTCCCTTGCCAACACTTGTGTACGGGGTGACGAGAAACTGATAGGTGGTTTCCGGCTGCAGGTATTTCATGGTGAATGTCTTTTGATCCGGGTTGTTGATTATGTATTTGCAACAGACTGTACCATCTATGGTTTTAAAAAAAGATTTTCAAGGAAAACAATTATTAAGAGTATGGAGCAGCTGGAGGAGTATTGAGGAAAACAAGTACTGAAGGTATGGTACAGTTCTGTGAGAACACCGAGTAATGATCCTTCTGTGGATTCAGGACAGACATCTTGGAAACCATCAAAATGTACTACAATTTTATCACACTTTGGGGATACAAAAATTTTCAGGAAAGGATAAAACAAGGAACTAAATACCCCACTAAACAAGGGACGCTGGTGCTCCATGGAGAGTCACAGATCCACAAGACAGATACACAGTGATAATCTGTGCTGGAAGTCTAAGAAAAAGGAGTTAGCAAGCGTCTGAGGGAAAGGTTCATTCAGCAGCTGAAGATACCGCAAGTCCTTCTAAACAATCTCAGGCCACATTGTATTTTAAGTCATTTTCAACACTGGCTCCCACTATCTTGTTGGCCTCCTAAATGTTCAGGACAACATCCTATCAGAAAAGCTTGCAAGCAGAGAATTCAGCTGGCCCTGGTTGGAGATGACAGCCTTTTCAATGATTCCAAATAATGAGATATTTAATGAGAATAATTTTTTTTAAAGTTACTTTCCTGAAAGAATTGCCTTTTCAAATCCTGTGTGGCAGTGTTTCTCCTCAGATTTCAGATAGACATGGTAGCCTTGTATGAAACCAGGTTGGGAGCTGGAGTTGGCGGAATAATTCTGCCAATGCAGAGTGAAGGAGTAGGGTTTCAGGTCAGTCACAAACACCTCAGGGTTTTCAGAAGGAGCTACAAAAGGAAGTAGGGTAAGAAAAGAGTCATGATTTGGAAGTGTCTCAGAGCATTTGTGTAAACTAAATGTGGACCCACCGTTGACTGGAAGTTGGGGGAACATCAGCCAAATTAAAAAGTTTTATCTTTTTTTTTTCCCCCTGGGGGATTTATGCCTTGGTAGTATGTGAAAACTGAGGAGGAGTGGAGCAATCTTGTTCAAATTTTACTTGGTGCCCAGAGACACACAGTACAAGGTCACACAGCAAAACAGTACGAAGACTTTCTTAGGCTTAATTCTGGTCCTGAATTCTACAGGTTTCTGAGAGGACCAGACCAGAGAACAGAAGAACTGAAATGGGGAGGGAGGAAGAGAGGAGGACAAGGAAGAGTTCTGGTCAGAGGTAAGAATCAGGGAGGATGTGAAGAACTCTAGTTCCCATGTGATAGCAATGCAGTTACCCAAAGGTCACTGGGAAAACATGGGGCATTTATCCAGAAGGTTGGCCTGAGCCTGTTCCACCATATATTATTGTGTGATCTGGTTTGTGCACAACCACACACACCCACAACTCACACCTCAGGCATGTTCCCAGACAGCTTCACAGAATGAAGAAGCCCTCAGAGCTGAGTTGATCAGTGCAAAGCAAACTCTAGCAGCTTGCTTTCAGCAGGTGTGAGATGCTGGAGGCTAGAGAAGGTGAGTAAGCAACCTGTGGGAGGCTCAGAATGGCCCTAGGCCACTGCTGGTGGAATCCTGGTCGCATTTCTGAGAGGTGATTTCACACTACCTATCAAAGTCTTAAAAGTGATAAATGAAAGAATATTAAAAATAATCCAGACCTTTGGATTCAACTATTCTACTTCTGGAGTTTCATTTAAAAGCCATTATCATGAGGTAGAGACAAAGATTGAGCTATAAAGATGCTGATTCCCAAAGGGCATAAGAGATCGGACAAGCAGTAAAAAGAGTTTAAGCACTGAGGACTGCTAGACACCTAGAGGTGAATTTTACAGCTTATTAAAGCTGACAAGCAAATATCCAATTAATATTTGATGGACAAGTATGAGGCACTTTGCCATCATAAAAATGATTATTTAGTGCCATGAGTCAAAAAGCTTTTTACAAACTGCAGAGTCCATTTTCATGCAAAACTATATATACACGTGTTTTTATGTATACATACCTGGATAGACATAAAATATTAATTGGATATTTGGTTTTGGGTGGTGAAATTAACAATGATTTTGTCTTCCTTTTCTACACATTGTATATTCTTCAGTGAGAATGTGTTGTATTTGTATGATTAAAAAGTAATTTTAAAAAACTATTAGAATGGAGCACTGAAATTGTTACACCCAAAGTTAGAAGTCTTTGAACAAGTCTGCACATGATACATTAAATGCTTCAACTTACCCAGTTCCTGGGAGTATGCAGCTTTTTTCTCTAACAAGTAAGCAGGCTTTTTTGTAGAAACTCCATAAATTTTAAAGTTGTATCGGATCCCTGGTCTAAAAGCATCTAAAGAAAAAAATCAACAGATTTTCATTAACAGTGAAATTCTCTTTGTTTCTAGAAAGGAATTATGTCTCCTTCATAATTTCCTCAGGCATTTTGCACCACTGGCCGCTGTGACTATCCCCTGTTGACACAGAAGACACTCGGGTGCATGGGCGCTGGGCACACAGCCTGGTCGCGGACTCCTGGAGTATGGGAGGCCATGGAGAGTGCCCGCCTGAGCGTAGAGGCCAGGGGTGTAGGGTGGTGTCACTCAGGATGGTCACGAAAGGCCGAGTGGCTACATAGGAGCAAGACCGCAAGAGAACGCCAGAGAGCCCAGAGAAAGTGAAGATTCATGGGGGGTGGGAAGGCTCAGCTGCCTGCCAGCCTGCCTGCCTCCCAGTACCCCCCACCCCCCCACCCACCTCAACACACCCCCAACACACACACAGCCCCGTCTGCCCCTGCCTCCTTGCAGCCAGCCTCTGCCTGGCTTGCCTGTGCACCTGGTTTCCCTCAGGCACTAAGGCCTGAACAATCCACTGAGGACTCTGAGACTGTCCTTTCGTCATTCTTCCTCACTTGACAATGAACCTGCCCTGTGTCTCCTTGTGCACGGAGGGGTTTCTGCACTTAGCTCCAGTCTTCCCTAGGGGTGTTCCACTGTCTCCAAAGAAACCTACAGAGACCGTCTTGCAGGTCGTCCTCTTAAAGAAGAGCTCTCCAACATACCCTTGTCCACGTGCAGGGTTTGACAGGAAGCAGAAAACCATTTTAAACTCTACTCCCACTCTAACAACATGCTTTCCCTCTGCCTTGAAAGCCAAGTGTCTCAAAGGCTTTGCTTTTTCTTAGCCCTTTCTTCTCACCTATATCTGCAATCTGTCATGGTGTCCAGCAGATGGCGCCACTAACACCTCTTCACACCAGAAACCTAGGCTCCTTTGATTTTGCTAAACTGAATGAGCTTGAAATTACAAAGGCAATGTGAAGGTGAAAGAGTTCAAGTGCTATCCCAATGACATTGGAGATTTGATCTTAACGCCCATCATCTCTATGCGCTAAATGCTCCCCAAATCTATATACTTCCTTGCTTTTGTAAAAGCTCTCTGGACAACAGTTAGAATGGCCCTTTGCCATTCTTTGAGATGACTCATTTAGAGGAAAAATCTCAGCAATCGTGAAAACTGCCGTTAGGCTGAAGTCCAGCTATTCTCGTAAAAGAAATTTTTAAGATGATATTTTAGGTCACATTATTGTAAAATGTGAACTCTTAGCACCCAAATTCTATCTGTAAGTTCAAAATGATTAGGTTAGCACAAAGAAACTATGGGACAGCCCAGAAGTCCTGGATGGATTACTGTCAGGTGAATAAAGCAGGTTGGTAATAGGGAAGCTTCTTCTTACCTGAGCTGATGACTGTGTGTGTAGTGTTAGGGGCTACATTTTTCCACTGGGGATCACAGTCCAGGAGCCAGAGACATTCAAACCATTCCACGACATAGCCCACCACATCTCCAAACTGGGGTTTCCAAGACAAAGAGATTCCATCCTCTGTGCCATTAACTCTCTCTTCTTCTACATCTTATACATGGTACAGAAATAACAATACTTAATATTTAATTGTGTATTTTAAAGAAACATCTAAAAAAGAACTTGGGGACCTCCCTGGCGGCTCAAGGGGCTAAGTCTCAGCACTATGAGGCTATCCGCAGCCACTGCAGCACAAGTTCGAGCCCCAGCCAGGGAGCTGACCCACATGGCATGGCAGACCTCTCCAGTCTCCCCACTGCTCCCCTCAGCAGTGTATTTCACTTTACCTGCCTGTTCTGCTCCCCACTCTGTCTCTGGTGAATCCTCTCACCCCCACACATCTGGCCTACACCCCAGTTCTTATATGCATAAATAAATCTTTATATAAATAAATAAATCTGTACCAAAAAATGAGAACTGGAATGTGGAGTATTGTATGGTGAATCGAGTCAATCAGGCATTTTCCTGCTTTCCTCCTGTTAGTTTCTATGGCCGGCACCTGTGGCCTCGCCTTCCTCCTGGGTTGCATGGATGTCCAGGATCCACACGAGGGAATGTGAAGCTCCGACGTGCAGACAAGGGGCGCGCGCACCGTGATTCTGAACACCTGGGCCCAGCGAGCACAGGGTGCGCATGTGTAAGTGTGGGCACCTGTGCTGAGGGGCGAGTGGTACCAGGATGGCGTCACTCTGCAGTGAGGCTACAGGACCACCCAAGACTGGCAGGAGGATGCCAGGAGATGCCGTGTGGGAAAGCGGCTCTGTCCACTCATTCGGCCCTGAAGGCCTCTAAGTACCTACTGAGGGCTCCACAATTCTCTTTCCGCCTGGAAGAGCTGACAGTGAGCCAACCGGCCTGGGAGGTTGCCCAGGTATCTGACAGGTAAGGGCCCTCACACTTTACTGAGACAGGGTTGGGGTGGGATCTGTTTTCATCGGTGTTTGCCAGTCTTTCACTTCGCAGTAAATACTTGAGTAGACCTCCCTTCAGGGGCCCTCAGCAGACCGGAGTCCCAAAACTACTTCAGCACCTAAACAAGGCTTCACCATCTACCAGCAGGTACAGCCTCTCAGGCTTATGTTCATAGGACCCTGAAGATTTTGTTTTTAAAACTTTTGCAAAGCCCACCATATTTATTAACCATCTCTTTAACGCACAAAGTTGCTTGCTGACTGTTGACCTACAACTGTGTGTGCTACTTGACCTGCTTTCAAAAATACCTGTGAACTGGATGAATAATTCAGCTTAGTTCCTCCACATAATGTGGGCTACCCCTGGACTCCATGGGACATGTGAGATGTTAAAAAAGCCAGGACAGAAAGAAAAAGCAATCCAGGCACGCGGTACATCAGATTACTCATGGACATGGCTGCTACCTGTGGCCACTGTCACCACTTCATCCTATTTTCTGTATCAGGGTAGTTTTCCTAGAGTCCGATAGAAGGAAAGAGCCCAGATGGCCTCACGGGGCTACCCATTACATTGATTTCAAGCAGAATAAGCTCAGGCTTTGAGGGATGAGAATTTCTCTTCTAGCCCAAGGCTGACTTCACAGGCTGGCCAGGGGCTGGGCCTGAGGGCAGCAGTGTGGAGAACTAGTCTATGGGATAGACTCACACTAAAACTTTACTCACTGCTTAGCTGCAATTCCAGTTTAACTGGGCAGCCTGTATTTTATCTGGAATCCTAATTACAACTGATATGAAAACACAGAGCTATTCAACTTTCTGGGGCACCAAGTTATTATTCAGTTGGGAACAGCCAGCTGAGTAAAGGATTCCTGAAGAAGGTCTCTGAATCTTTCCTACATGGTCGGCCTGGTCTTCCCCATCAAAGAAACATATCTTTCACATTGAAGCAGTCAATTTTCTGCCTCCCTTATCCAGCTATCATCTGAACTTTCACCCTGAACTTAGAGTCATAATGTGTATTAAGCTGCTTCTGTGAAATGGCAAATATGTTCTGAGGAATGGAGGGAAAGAGATGGGGAATCCTTTCAGCCGTTTACATGCCAATATAAATTAGCCTAATCAGACTATTTCATGGCACTGGTTATTTGCAAAGGTGGATTACGTAAGGAAGACAGGATAGAAAATCACAGGAAATACTTTGGATATGAGTGCAGGGGCCAGGGAAAGGGCTTATGCTAATAATCCAGAGGCAGAGAAGCCCCAAAACAGGCAATAGTGTTTAGCAGTGTCTGAACTGGGTTTCAGGTGAGGTGGGCTTTTACCTATCACCTCTCCCAGGTGAATTCAGGTGAATAGAAAGCCTATTTTTCCTTCTCTGTCCCTAATGAAGATACAATGCACCTGTACATTTCTTCCTCTAATATAGTTCTTAAGAAGTAAGGTTATAGGCTGCCATAATCTTAATTTCTCTTTTACTTGACATATTGGGTCCTTTTGAAACACCCTTCTATCTAGCCTACTTACTCCAAATTTATAGCTTAACTCGAATTATAGGAGTAATACAATCTACTTTCACTTCATAAGCAGTGAAAATTTTAATAGCAATAACAGAAGCAAGTCTGAAAACCTTAATAGCAGTAACAGAAGCAAGATATTATTGTAAGGCTCATTACGGACCTCCTGCTGCCTGTTGTATTGTGTCCAAGTGTGAGCTGACTCAGTGTGTTACAGTGGGGGACAGGGGTTACTATATCCAACCTCTTTGACAGCTTTCCAAGGAGGAAATTAATATTACTGTTGATTTTACACAGAAGGTCATTTCCACCTTGTTTGCAAAGGGATTAGCCAGATATCACTTCAGTCTACAGCCCAGCAAAGCACCTCATGAAAGATGAAGCCCAGAGTCCTGCGATCTCTGCAAATGTGAAAGGGCTTATTAGAGGTAGCAAAGGCTGGCAAATATGTTGCTATGTAATAAACGCAACTTTTATTTCATAAGCCCAGCAAATTTACATCACTGCTAGCTCTTAGTAAGGACGTTTTGTTGGGCCTGCTTTTACTCGAGAACACAGGAGACAATTCCACGAGGTGCTGGGCAGTCATTGCTGAGCTCTGGCTGCACTCTCACTGCATCCTCCACTGAGGGGCCTGAGGAAGAATGAACTGCAGTGCCTGGCAGCTAGATATTTTGTCACCCTAAGTTACATCTTTAACGTTTATCCATCTACTTCATAACATCAGCAACATTTTCCTTGAGAATAAAAACAAAACAAAATAGGACTTACTGTTTTCAGGATCTCCAGAAATGACAATGATGGAAGCAGGAGACACACCCACGCTGTTATTAGCTGTGACGTGGAATCGGTAAGTACACAGATCCAGGATTAATGTTTTGTTACTGGCCGGAGCAGGAATGGAGACGGGTGGTAGCTGATATAATTTGTCTAGATTTTCTATAATTATATTATAGAATAGAATCTTCCCATTGGCATGCAATAATTTTGAGAAAGGCTAGGAAAAAATTGATCAGGTTTCAGAATGTGTTTTCCTCAGAAAGGGAATTTTATGATTACTTTTTCTCTCTTCTGTTTCTGCCTTTAATACACACACACACACACACACACACACACACCTGTAGGAGCAAATTAAAACAGTTTAATACAGAAAATAACCCTTCAAACCAGGCCTGAAATCCCAGGAAACTAAACTAACGGAAGTTGAGCAGGGAATGGGTTTGTTTGGACATGAGCTTCTCAAGAGCAGAATGCATTCAGAGAAGACAGGCCAAGTCAGGAATCTAGAGGAGGGGACTCTTCAGCCTGGTTTAAGAAAGACTCAGTGGCACAAGAGCAGAAGATGTGAGGAAAATAGCACCTGGGCAGGCCCTGGCAGGCTGGTCCAAGCTGACTCCCCTTCTGGCTCCCATGTTCACACAGTTGTGGAGAGCCCATGACCCCTTCCAGACCACCCTCTAGGCTGCAGAGAATTCCCTGCACAGAGTCACAAACCCATTTCCCGGACCTGGCTCACGGGTCTCCCCTCCCAAGCACAGACAGCATGCCTGGAGGACGTCCCCAGATCTGTGAGTGGGGGTGGCTGTCTGCTTGGGTGCTAACAGAAGCTGGCCAGCAAACCAGTGTGTCCTCAGGCATGTCTCACAGTCCTCAGGGGTGAGCCAAATGGAGGTGGGGAGGAGAGTGGGTGGGTTTGGCCTGGGGCAGCAACCTAGCACCATCATTGTATGAAACACTAAGAGACAGAGAATTCTGAATACAAACCTGGCCTCACAGGGTGCACGAAGGCATGTTAGTTGAGGTGAAAGGACCACATATAATTTGTGAGACAGCTTTTGGCTTGATTCATATCTTTTCAACTTATCTATGATGGGTATAATGGGTATACAATAGTCCTAACTTCTAAACATGGTATGTACTTCTCTCCACTTATACTCAGACCCTTGGCCCTGCAAATGTTAGAGGGGGAGGCCAGGGCAGAAGTTACTGAGATGCAGGTCCGAACAGTCACATGCGCCACTGTGCTATGGGCTCTTGAGGGGAGTTTAGTCCCAGCACCAGGGATGTGGGTGTGATCTGGGGCCTCCACCAGCAGGCAAAACATTCTGCTGGACTCATGTGAGGACAGGCCCGACCAGAAGATTTGCTCCAAGACCCATTTCATAGTTTCAGATATAGTGCCAAGCAAATCTGTGCCTCTCACCTTCCAGAATAAAGTCACCTCCTGCTGGCCTGGGTTTGACTTCACCCTTCTCCAGACATCAGGAGCCTCCGAGGGTGCTGATGTTAACCAAAAAAAAAATTTGGGTTATGATATGTACCGAGGGCAATACACTCAACACTGCTCTGTTTTGGCCAAGAAAGTCCCGATGGCCTGTCCTTCCTGAGACTTGTTTCTCACATGTTCCCTCTCTGGGATGTCTCCCCACACTGTCCATGCCTCCCTAGAAGCACAGAGTAGGTGCTTTACAAAAGGTCTGTTGCAAACTGAAGGTCTTTATGAACTAAAGGCTTAGTCTTCTGGAAGCCAACAACAATTTCGGAATAATTCATCAGAAGGCTAGTTAGCTAAATTTCCCTTTTCTTTAACTTCTAAGAGTAGACTGTGGCTACTTCTTCAGCCCATTTCAAAGGTTGCAAGAGCAGCCCACCACAAAGGGAGAGCCTGAGGGCCTGGCAAATTCATGTCCAGGTTCACAACCTTGTACCAGCTGCCCACTCACAGCACCACCACTATGCTCTCTCGACTCTGTTCTGTTCTGGAAGATTTTGCCTCCTTGTTCTTGACAGTAAACTTGGGGGGGGGGGCAAGTATTTGTGACTTGATTCAAGCCATTACTATGCAAGAATTGTTTTGGAACATAACACTAAGAATGCAGCCCTCTTTTTATAAAAATGGTTTCTTTCATCTGTGGAATACAAATCACTCCAACATTGACATAGGCAAAATATAGTAAGGAATGTGTCTTCAACTCAGTGAAAGAACTGGATGGTGACCGGAGGGAACTGGTGGGAGGGAGCATGGGGAGGAGTGGAAGGCAGCCAGGCACTGCCACAGGAGGCTTGGAGGAGGATGAGAGGAGCATGGGCCCGTATGGAAGAGCGAAATGTTTCTCCAGAGCTACATGTATCTATTCAGTAACTGAAATTCAAGTAAACCCTTTTTTCTTTGAATCACTGACACTCTGCACTTAATGGTGACCCTACAGTTTAAAGCTGATCTACTACAGTAGAATTTAGCTTTCTAAATAAGCTACTGGAGATGTCAAGAGGAAGTAAACACTGAAATACTCAGGTCCAGCACGGGACTCCAAGTTCACTGGAAAGTCTCCAGCCAGGCTGGGACTCAGTGTGCAGGAAGCAAATGCCAAGCACAGCCAGTGGCTGGGTATCCAGAGCCACAAAATTCTGACCATGGGGTCACTGAACCCTGCTCGTTATAATACACTGAAGTCTGATACTGTCCACATACATATGGATTATTCTGCATTAAACATTTTTTTCAGAGGCAAAGATCTCTAGACCTCATTTCAGTGGTGAACTTAATGCACTAGATACAGATGTCGATTTTTCATGATGCAAACCTGAAATTTACATAATGTCATGCAATGTTACTTCAAAAGAATTGATTATTCACCATCACTAGCTTCATCTCATTTTCTTGTTACCATCCCAAGCAAAGTTAAGCTTATTTTACTGTAAGCTCAAAGAAACACAACGTATCAAAACCTTGATCCTTTAGCCATTTTCCTCTTGCACTTAATTATAATTATAATGGTTGTGATAATTAGGATGGGATAAGCAAATGAAACACCCCCAACCAAAGTGGTATTTAAAAAGTAAAAATTTGTTAACAAAACACAACCGAGGACATTACTATCCATGTTGTTAGCAGCAGCAGCAGGAACTCTTGAGCTGTCCACACTCCTAGGAAAAATTGCAGGGTCAGCCAAGAACACCAGGCAAGAGAAGAGCTGGAGACCAGTCTATGTGTGTCTCTTGATCAATAGCCCTGAGATATCCAACTAGTCCCACCAGGGAGGCAGAAGAACCTGGCCAGTCTAGAAACACACTTAGCAAGAAGGAGGAAAATCAAAGCACAAAATCCCCCCTTTGGTAGTAAAACAGCCACGACTTGCAATGCAGTTACACCACCACCAAGAGCTGGAACACACAGACCCCAGTCTGCTGGGGAGGTTGGGGAAGCTCCATCCCTCGCTGGCTAGACCAGTTGTTCACCTTCTGTGTGCCTTGATGTACTCATCTACAAGCACCGATGATACTATCTACTGCATGCTGGGAAGACTAAAACAGTGAGTCTTTGAGCGAAGCCTGGTACCAACCACTCACTCTGTGTTTACTTATCACTGCTGTCATGTTTCTGGCATTCATTCATTAACACTGCAAACTAGGCAGGTCTCTCCAACCAGTGGCCCCAAGTTGCCTCACCTTCATGCCAATCAAGGATAAGACTTTTGTCTTGACTCGCAAGGAGACGAAAGCAGAGCTGGACCGTTTAACTGCTGAGGCCTTACCGGAGCTCTGAGACAGTTATTTAGGAAAGACCCTTTGTTCAGCTGATATTGAAGTATAACCACAGGGAGCACTGTGGAGAATGCTCACTCTTAGCTGCTAGAACAAAACCTGAGACTGCTTGGTATGAGATCAATGTTTTCCTGGCCACAAATTCTACAATCTGCTTCCCATTGTGAGTTAAAATTCTGTACTTATTTGCCCAGCTCCAGGTCCTCTATGAATCCAACAATAGCTTCAGCTTGGGAACCATGTTGACTAAATCACCACTCAAAGAAACACTAAACTGTACACTGATGGCAAGTGTTTGAAGTGTCTGTCACCCTAGTCACTGTTCGTGGGTATTTAGCTCAGTTATTTTTTTTAAAGATGGCATTGAGCCTCTGTTGTGATATTTTCCCCTTAGTGTTTGGTACAACTTCAAATGCCCAGGGAAGACAACCCAACAGCCATGAGTCTGTTTAAGTCCTTAGATGAAGTGTCAGGGAGCTGAACATACCAGCTTCAAGTGTGGTGAAGTTTTGACTAACCGACTTGCTCCATTTCCAGAAGTGGTTGGCATCAGCACAGTATACTCGGACCATGTACTCTGTGTTGGGATCCAGGCCACGTAGAAGGTATTTGCCATTGACCTTGACAGAAACATTGTGCCACTTGATAAAAAAAAAAAAAAAAGAAAGAAAGAAAAGAAAAGAAATGGAAAAAGGAAGACAGAAGTATTGGTGAGCAGGCAAATCACAATATGACAAATGTTACTTGGGAAAAGGCTAGATCCTCTTTGGGAAAATAAAATGTATAAGGTCTTCTCCCCAGTTGCCAAATGCCTATGATTAATTTCAAGAATTTCAAAATTTCAGTTTCAAAAACTGGTGAACCACACCATTTGAATCCATATGAAAATAAGAGCTTACAGAGATGTTATTCAAAAGTTGTCTCCATTCAGGACAAGGGACTTTTAAAAATAGAAAACAAGGGGCCTCCCTGATGGTGCAGCAGGTTAAAGCACAGCACTAAGGAGCTAAAGCCACTTCAGCACGAGTTTGACCCCTGCCCCAGAGGTGACCACATGGCGCGGCAGACCTCTCCTGGCCCGCCCGCTGCTCCCATCAGCAGTGTACTCTGTCAATCTGCCTGCTCTGGTCCCCACTCTGTCTCTGGTGAAGCCTTTCACCACCCCTGCACCTCTGGCCTGTACCCTGATATGCATAAATAAATAAATCTTTTAAAAAAATAGAAAATGAATCAATGTTCTTACTCGTATCACTGCTCCTTTGTCACAGAGTTCAACCTGACACAAAAGTGTGGAATAATTCCCCATGGAGTGAACCTTCCAGGTCACGGTGGATTCTGTCCCATTGTTGTTTTTAATGGATAAATCAAAGGGAGACTTTGGATGAACTGTCAAAACAAATACACAGAAAAGGGAAACAAAAGTGAAAGAAAAAATTAAACCACCTTGGTAACAGGCAAGTCAATTCTTCATTGATTTATTCAACATGTACTTCTTGCTGCTGTTCAAGAAAATGGCAGACAACCAGTTTGGAGTCAAGATGCAGTAAGCTAGTTGCAGCCCTTCTCGCAGACTTTTTTTTAATTTTTACATCATTTTGTACATTTTTTTTTCCCATCTTGATTGTAATCCCCACAGGTTTCCCATCACCAAGTCACCCATGTGCCATCACCATAATCCCATGTCGCAGACTATTTTTAATAGAAACGGAACAAAATACAAAACAAAACTATGTGAAACTCTTAAAAATCAGAGGTAGATAATAGAGGGGAGTCAAAACTGGAGAAGCAGCCCCTAGAGAGACTATGACAAAACCCACAGATACCCCCAAGTAATGTGCATAGGGGCACAGGCACAACTCAACATTTTTAGACAAGAAAACTCCAGAGGTTCCTCAAACTGCTAAACATGGAGCTTCCCTACGACCCAGCAATCCCACTCCTA